GAAGGAAGGAAGGAAGGAAGGAAGGAAGGGACGGAGGGAGGGAGGGAGGGAGAGAGGGGAAGGAAGGAAGAATGAAAGAAAGAAGGAAACAGAGGAAGAATGAAAAGAACGGGAAGCGAATGTTTATTGTGAAGATTGTTTATATAACATGTCACTTAGTCCTTGCAAGAGTCCTGTGAGATGGATGGTGTTGTTTCTATGAGGAAAACAAAACCAAAAGAGATCAAATAACCTTCCCAAAAATAAACACATCGATAATGGCATGCCTGAAGGAATTAAAACAAGAGAAAAGCATCCATTTGTCCATTGGAAAAGCAATAATTTTGACAGATGTGGGTATCAAAAAACTTCTTATAAGTTGAGCAAGAAATAAAAAATGGACATGTTATAATAGTAATTTGTATAATCTACCATACTGATAGATTTATATTAACAGCTCACTTCTGAAATGATAAAATTCTCCCACTTTAAAAAGCCCTTCAAAGGCTTCTGAAATGAAATGTCCCTGACATTTTCCATAGGTGAATAAAACCTCACTAAGCTGAGTAAATGAGCCACTACCAACTGGTCCTCCACTTTAATCTCATTTACTTGATCCAGAAGAGCTCTCTGCAATGACTAGGTAGTTGGGATATGGAATTATACTTGAAAGAAGGAATCAGAATTTTATTATTTCCAGGAACTATGTTAGTAGATAAACTTATAAACCTTTTCTCCATCTTCAAATATCAGTGAGGAAATTTTCTGGTATCAAAGTTAAGGTGAAGGAGTTTCGGAAGTTCTTTGCACACTAACTTTTCTCCAACCTGGAACCCAGCTGCTATAGTTTGGATATGATTTGTTTGTCCCCTCTGAACAGCATTTTGAAATTTGATCCTCAGTTTTGGAGATGGAGCTTAATGGATGTATTTGCATCATGGGGGTGAGCCCCTCATGGGTGGCTTGGTGCTGTCCTGCTCATGGTAATGAGTTATTGCTCTTTTAGTTCTCAGAGAGCGGATTGCTAAAAACAGCATGGCAGCTCCTCCTCTCTCTCTGGCTTCCTCTCTCACCATGTGATCTCTGCACACTGGCTCACCTTCACCTTCCACCAGGAGTGGAAGCAGCTTGAGGCCCCCATCAGAAGCAAATGCTGATGCCATACTTCTTGTACAGTCTGAAGAACTGTGAGTGAAATAAACCTCTTTAATTTATAAATTACCCAGCCTCAGGCATTCCTTTATAGCAACACAAATGGTCTAAGACATCGGTTAAATCTCTTTTGAAGACAGTGTAATGCATAAGCTTGCACCTCAAAAGTTGGCAAGTTAAAAGCTGCATTTCCCAGACTGCCCTGAGATAGGGTTCTGGATGTGGTTTAGGTTATGACCCTCATATATCCTTGCCTATGTCCCAGATTGAAAACTGACTTTACTGGGGCAAGAGTCAGTGGCAGAAGCCCCACGTTTTGCTGGTGCACATCTAGTGGGCACAGTATGTTCCAGGATGCACAAGGTATGGCACCAATTTCTTGACCTTCAGATCAAACTGAGTGGTACAATCCTGAAGCCAGAGCCAGCAGTGGGAATAGTAGATTTCCTAATTTCTGCTGTGGCAGTGGAGAACTCTGAAGAGTTAATCCCAAAAGCTTAGGCTGGTGCCCATGAGCACCTACTTTCTTGTTTCAAATCAGTTCATGTTTTAAATAATTAGAAAAATTTGTTGTCCATAACCACAGCCTAACTGATAGATGGACACCCATGGCAGTAAACATCATAAACAACTGCACAGTTCCTTAGGACAAAATTTTTATTCTTTACTTGTTTGTAGACCCTCTCTATCACTAAATATTATCAGCACTATTTTCAAAATATGTTTGATGTCATGCTTTTTCTCATCACCACCGCCTATCCACAGGGATATGATCCTCCTGCCCAAAGACTAAATAGAGAGAAAAATCAGAGAAAGGATTTTTTAAAATATTGACTGTAATTGAAGAGTAATATTAGACAAGTCTTCAAATGAGCACAAAATAATATAGTCTTTAAGGAACTGCAGTAGAATACTGAAAATTACAAACTATTGCTGAGAAAAATTAAGGCCCAGATTAATAATATATACGACGTTTATAGTCAAGAGATGCAATGTTGTTAATTCAATATTGTCAGCTCTCCTAGGTTTAGCTGTAGATTCAAAGTAATCCCCATCAGAAGAAATAGCAGCTTTTTAAAAATAGAAATTTAAAAGCTGAATTTTAAATTAATGTAGAAAAGCAAACAATCTAGAACAGCCAAAATAATACTTAAAAAGCAGAACAAAATGACAGGCCTTGCACTACCTGATTGTATTTACTGTAAAGCTTCAGCTATCAAAAGAGTGAGGTGTTGGCTTAAGGATAGTTACATACATCAAGAGAACAAAATACATATTCTAAAAATAGGCTCGCACATATAGAGTTGACTGATATTTGGCAATGATGCCAAGCATTTAGTAGAAAAAAGACATTCTCTTTAACAACAATTCAGGAAAAACTAAATATCCGTATGAATAAAATGATCTCCAGTCCTTACCACACATGCTACATACAAACATTAACATGAAATAAAACATAAACCTAAGTGTAAAAGCTAAGTATACAAAATTTCTTCAATAAAACATATGATAACAAATTTGTTTTCTTGAACTAATCACAACTTTCTTGGGATACAATAAGCAAAAACCGTAATAGAAAAAATAGCCAGGTGTGGTGGCCTATGCACACAGGCTCAGCCACTGAGGAGGCTGATGTGGGAGGATTGCTTGAGGCCAGGACTTCATGACCAGCCTGGGCAATATAGCAAGACCCTAACTAAAAAAAATTTGATGAATTATACGTCATCAAAATTCAAAACTTCTGCTCTTCAAAAGAGCAGAAAAATTTATAAAGAATATAAACATTAGCCTCAGACTAAATGGAAGAAAACATTTACAAAATAAATGTTAAAGAATTTGTATCTCAAATATATAAAAAACACTTACAACTCAGTATCAATAAGAAAAAAATCATCATAAAAATGGGCAAAGGGTTTGAACAGACTCTTCACCAAAGAAGATATACAAAGGATAAATGACTACATGAAAAATTCTCATTCTCCTCAGTCATCAGAGCACTGCAAATAAAAATCACAATGAGACACCATTTCCTACTAGAGCAACTCTTGTGAGAATGCAAAATGATACAACCACATTAAAAAATTAGTTTGGGGGTTTCTTATAAAGTTAAATATACACTTAAAATATGACCCATTCCATTATAAATTCCATTCTTAGATATTCAGCCAGGAAAATCAAAGCAGGTGTTCACACAAAGATTGGTATATGGATGCTCAATAGCAGTTTAATTACTCATGGTAAAAAAATATTTAAAACAACCCAAACATCCATCATTGATGAGTGGATAAACTAAAATTGGTACCCTGTGCAGTGGGCTGCGATTCAGCAATAAAAGCAACAAATTCCAGAATACATGTAACAACATGGAAGTATCACAAAAGCATTATGCCAAATGAAAGTAGAAATAGAAATACATACTGTCTGATAGAGTTTATAGGACCTAGAAAAAGCAAAACCAAAGGAACAGAAAACATGTAAGTGATGCCAGTGACTAGGTGTGGGCAGAATGGATTGACTGTGTAGGGGCATGAGACAAGTGTCGTAGGTGATGAAATTTTCTATATCTTGATTGTGGTAGTTACGTGATTATGTACATTGAACAGTATTCATCAATCTCTACCTTTAAAGGGATACATTTTATAATGTGTGCAATTAAACCTCAGCACTTGGTATGAACAATAAAGAACAAAAAGCTTGCTGTAAAACGCATATGAGTACATGCGTCTGCTTGTCATTGTGTAAAACATATAATGGCTTCTGTTACACATCGTGTTTCAAAAAGTTATGCATAAGAAGACATTGTTTCACTTTTGGCTCTGACAAATAGAGGAACAAAGGTCGAAAACTCGAAGTTACCCCCTAGTCCAGCTATCATGAATTCAAATGACTCTAAGGGCCAGGACAATAACCGAAATGAGTGAAATAAGCTAAGAAAAGCAACAGTCCCAGTGTGATGAGATGTAGCAACGGACTCAACGGCAGCGAGAATGGGGGGTCTCTGAAACCCTGACCATGTGGAGCACGGAGCACGCATGCTCAGGGCGTGTGATCAGCTCCTGCTAACCCCTGGTGTGCAGGATGCAAGCCTAGACTTCAATTTTTTGAGAAGTCTAAAATTTAAATTTTGTGTGAAAATCTCTTGAGTTAACCAAGTTTTATAGCCTGAAAGTCAGTGTGTGGAACCCAAACCAAAAGTGTTTGCATAACAGATTCAGCTGTGTCCATCAGTCCAGAACCTCCGCATCAATGGAATTAAAAATAAGGAATAAGGTATAAAAAGTAGACACATTGATCAATGGACAGACTAGAGAACACAGAAACAACACCTTAAACCTACAACAAACTTATTCAACAAAGCAGAAGAAAACATACGCTGGGGAAAGGAGACCCTATTCAATAAATGGTGCTGGAAAAACTGGATTTCAACATTCATAAGAATGAAACTGGATCCCTATCTCTCACCATATACAAAAATTAACTCAAGATGGATTGAAGACTTAAGTGTAAGATCTGAAACCGTAAAAATTCCAGAAGAAAACCTAGGAAAAACTATTCTTGACATTGGCCCAAGCAAAGAATTTATGGCTAGAGCTCATAAATAAAACAAAAACAAAAACAAATGGGATGTAATTAAACTAAAAAGCTCTAAATATCAAAAGAAATATTAAAGATAATAAATAAACCAACAGAATGGGAGAAAATATTCACAAACTATACATCCAGCAAAGGACTAATATCCAAAATCTACAAAGAACTCAAACAAACTCTTGGGGGGGGGGAAAACCCTAAAAAGTGGGCAAAAGACATGAACAAACATTTTTCAAAAGAAGATAGACAAATGGCCAACAAACATATGAAAAAATGTTGAACATCACTAATCATCAGGAAATTTTGTGTGTGCACGTTTCTGGCCCTAAATCCCCTTATCACTACTGGGGGAAAACTACCCACTAAATAGAAAAAGAACTAGGCTATCGCATGTATGAAAAATAAAAACTTACTAGGTTAAATCACTGAATTTGGGGGTTTATTTGTTCCAGAAAATTGTATTGCAAAACTAATGCACTAAAACTATTTTTAATTATGTTAAAAGTAGCATGCAGAAACATATATATTGGAACATTATTTATAGTAGTGAAACCTAACCCAAACTACTGAACAATTAATAGCATTGGATTGTGATTTGTAAACATAGCACTGTTAACACATCAATTTAATATCAGAAATACTTAATATTCCACACTAATGTATGTACAATCCATGTTTGTTTTCTACCCCTAAAATGACATAAAAACACATTTTGGACCATTTTGAGTAACTTTATTATTCATAACATGATTTTTCCATTCTGTCTTATAATCTATGATTCACATTTATCTGTGCCTTTAAATTTTTAAACTATGTACCCCTCTGTTTTGATCATTACATTACCTGTTTTTTCTTCAGAAAATGGTTAAAATAAAATCCCAGAAAGCTGTTATCTTTATCTTGGGAGGGGGAAAAGAGGTTCAGAACTAAAATCAATTTCCAGGTATCTATTCTGAGTCAGCAGCATATCCGAACTCAGACACGGCCAGGGAAAGACAACCGAGGGAAGCACACATGAGTGACAGCCGTGCGCATCCCTAGCAGAGCCACTCTCCCTCGTGTAGGCTGACTTCCGGTGCCTGCCCTCCTGTTCAGGAGCTCCGTCCGGACATCTGCAGTGGGTGCAGTCGGTCCCCAGCCAAGATCTCTGAGACCTAAAATAATACAGAGATGAATATTGACGCAAAGCCAGAAGCTCTATAGAAATAATCATTGCTGTGGTTTTTCACCTTAATTTTAAAATATTAAAATTGAAAACTATTCTTTTTGCCTAAACTGGATTCTATTTCAGACAATAATAGACTGAATTGCCTTCTGGAAAAATGATGCATAGTACGACAGTGAATAATCACTTTCCACTTGAGAGAAACAGAGGTGCTGCTTGACCCGTCCTATGGTATCTTCCCACTTGCTTCCCAATAACTCTTCCCAATACCTACGACCTGGCCAGACTGTCCTTATGTGTGAATTATGCTCCCAGCCTTAACATGACTGAATAGCCAGTCCCACAGCAGTCGCTGTCAAGCACTCAGCGAATAATCGTGAGCACCAGTGACGCCACACAAAGACGAACCGCCGTCAGAAGGCCGGGAGAGGCGTATGTCAACGCAGCTGCAGACCTCAGGCCCTTTCTCACTAGTGCATTAGTCTGCAGCAAAAATTCATTTCTCAAAGTCATTATTAATCATCTGAATTATCTGAACAATTATGAATCAATAATATTTGCATTTTTTTGAATTAGTTTTACCACTCTGTGGAGAACACCAAACTTATCAAGGTACCTGAAAAATCCTTTTGGTGATTGAAGAAGTGGTTTCTGTACACAAAGAGGCTCGCCGCGGCCCCCGCTGTTGGCTGCAGGACAAGACACAGGGGTTTGGAGACCCGCGCGCTCTGTGACAACAGCCGATTTGCACCTCAGAGCTGGGTCGTTGGCCTGGTACACCTGGGCTGCTTTGCATGTGCGCCTTGAACTGCTTTGCTATCAGGAAGTATGGATTTAAATATATGAGAGAAAGCTCTTCACAAAACTGAATTTAAGAGAGCTCATAAATGCCCCCCCGGTTTAAAATAGGCCGTTGGTGCCGTCTGAGAGTGGCCAGTACCACTGCACACCTGCCAGGAGAGCCGGATTACCTGGTGTGGAAAGCCACCCGAGTGTGACTGTGGGGTTTCTAGACAGTCACTACCCAGACTGCCACGTCTACAGTAGAGTTCAACACGGTCCAGCCATGTCACAAATGCTCTAAGGTCCTCCCTGGATGACAGCTTCTGGCTACGTTTCCCTGGGCTGCCGGCCAGAGCCAGTCTCACCGGCATCCTCAGGACACACTCGCGGCCTCCGGGGGAGGAGAATATCCTGTGGGTCGCCAGGAAGTTCAGCAGAGAAACTGTCCTCTTGTCCATCTCTGTCATGCCCAGTCAGGCCAGCAGCCAAAGCCTTCTTAAATGGGGTTCGGAATCTAGAGTTATTCTTTAGGTTTTTTGTATAGCTCAGCAGCTTGATGTGTCCTTCCAACTCTCAGATGACTGCCATCTTCTTTTAAAACAGGGAAAATATGCCTTTTGACTTTGTCTGAGCTCCTAATGATGCATTTCCTCCCCAGAACATTTCCTAGCCCGTGTGTGTAGGGTGGCAGGACAAACCACGTTCCAGTTATTTATTATTCTGGCCGTCCTGGAGCTGGACGTGGTGCGGAGCCTTTTTCATGCCGCTGGCAGGTGGGGCAGACCGCAGGCACGAGCCTTGCTTGTTTTAGTAAAGGAAGGGGAAGAAGTACGTTAGGGAATAAGGGAGAGTAAAATTGCACAATAAACACTGCATTACTATTCTAACACATCTAATCGTGAGTAGTTAATTTAAGCACTTCCTTCCCATCAGTTTGACATTAAGCCGTGTTCCTGGAGTATAAAAAATTTTATTTTACTCCAGGTTGTATAAAACTATAGATTATTTAGAAAAGAGATAAGCTACTTAAGTAAAAACTACAATCATAAATTATAATTTTAAAAGAGCAGTTGGCAGATAAATTTCCTGTCACGGCATTATTGCGGGGAGCCGCCTGTGAGCTGAGTGCCCGCGGCCGCCCCGTCCCACTGCTGACAGCGCGGTCTTGGAGGCTGCAGCAGACCGGCTCCCGCACGCTCGCGCGGGGCTGTACCCCAAAGCCGAAGAGCTCGGCTTTCACTGCCCGCCCCTCTCACGCCTCCACTGCCGAGAACATCCAGCGATTGAAGTCAAGACTAGAAATCACGTGAAATCCGTGTTGAGACCAGATGTCCTCACTCTGTCCTACAGCCATGGCCGAATCAGAAATGCCTTCCCTCTCGTCTGCTGACCAGGTACGGTGGCACAAGGGGACGCAAAACCCTCCTCCCGGTGGAAACTCCCCGGACGTGCCCAGAGACACGGGTCAGCAAACTCGACTCTGGGAAAGGAAGAAGGGGCTGTGAAAACTTATCCACCAGAATACAGACTAGAAAGCAACAAAAATCGCCTGCTTTTAAAGGTGGTTTTTAGTTCTCTTTTATCTAAGTAACCATATGAAAGATTGCCTGCCATGAAATATGTGCTAAATCACAGACAAGAGAAATGTCAACTGAACCCCAAATTCAACTCTTTTCTATAGTTCCAAAAAAATCTTGTGATAAAATAATTTGCTTTGCTATTGCAGCTGCTATTGTAACTCATTCTTTGCTTATACATAACCTGCATACTATGAGATATGAAGAGACACAGCGCTGCCATATTTCACTGTAACCTAAAACATGGATTTGTTCTTCATGGGCATAAAAGATTCCCTCATCATGGCTTTCTTATAACCCAAAAGGTGAAAGCCTCTTTAAGTGACTTTCCAATCACTCTCCAATTTTATTCCTGACTTAGCACCTCCTGACTAGAAGGTGAAATAAATTAAAATCCTTTGAAAAACAGATTGTTTGCCTTTTCAAACATTCATTGAACCAGGAAGTGTTCCGCCATGACTTGACAGGCACCCGTTCCAAACCAAAGTCGGCTGACATTGCTATTGCTCTTAAGCTCTGGCTTGACATTGCTTGACATTGCTATTAAGCTCTGGCTTTTTGTCCTTTCCTGGTGACAGGCAGCCCCAGGCCTCGGAGTCTGGACAACTGTCACATCTTCTACATTAAAATACTATTTGATCAACTCTTCACAAGAAAATGGCTATTTTATTTATACAGCCCAAATATTTACTGTATTCTATTACCTGTGAGAATTCTTCTCTATTCATCTTATGTTCTTGATTCTTCTTCATGCAACATTGAGCATATACGTATTGAGCCCCTGGTGTCAGTCCCTATGCTGTGTGATGCCATAATGAGCAACAACAGAATCTTCTCTTCCCAATAGTCACCTAAGAAGACAGGTAGAGGGGAATCGCGGAGCAGCGTGATCCGTTTCATTGCATAATTCAGGCGATTCTGGCCAGCACGCTCCGTGCAGTGATTATTCTTAATTCCATTTGCCTTCTTTATGGTTCGGCACTATGCAGTAGAAATTTCTGCAATGGTGAAATGTTCTACTGTTGAATACAGTAGCCACTAGCTGCATGAGGCTATTAAGCACATAAAATGGGTTTAGTGTGACAGAGAAATTAATTCTTAATTTTATTTAATTTACTTCATTTAAATTTTAATTTAAATGCCTCCTGTGACAAGTAACTACTATGTTGGACAATGCACACATAGGCAGACATCCTTGGTGCTATAAGCCACATTATTTGATTAGGCTATAAATTAGCCTTTGAATTATAGAAATCCCAGGGAACTAATTATTCCAGGCACTGTGTAATGCCAGGGGAGAAAATGCATCTGATGGCAGCCTCCTATCTGAATCAAATCTACAGACATCTTATGGTAGCAATCCATCAGTGGGCTGTCGAGTATCAAAGGCATAATTCTTTGGCCAGATTCAGCTATGTCAAGGAAAAGGAACCTAGAACATTAAAAAGTAAATCAATTGTCTTTTTTTTATGTTTATGGATAATTCCTGACAATTCATCTCAAATCTAATAGTAAATTGATACAAATCTAAATTCACTCAAAGTTATTGAGCAGAGAAATGTTTTATCTAGAGAACTATTGAATACTCAATGTGCTATGAAAATAAAAACACAGGGTTTTGGCCCAGAATTTCAACATTTAAACTACTCGCAACCAAAGAAATGATAACATGGTGCCAAGGGGAAAAGATTATAGGGACTTCAATAAAGACAGTAAGTCAGTACAGGAAAGAGAGAGTAAAGACGCACTACTTTCCGGGTGAGGTGATGAAGAGGCAGGGTGGGACAGGGATGCAGGTGTTGAAGGCAGGCCTGGACTTGCCTCTTAGCTCTGACATGGAGAGCGTGGGGACCTTTGGACATTTGCTTTAGTTTTTTCATCTGCAAAATGATAATAATATGCACCTTGTGGATTGTTGGGCAGGTCATAAACAATGTGTTCCAAAGGCCTGGTGCATCTCAATAAATGGTGGTTGATACTATTATGACAGAGTTATAGCCATAGTAGCCAGCACGGTTGAATTCCACCAAGCCATTCTTCAAATTCAGGACATAACCTCTTTTTTTATAAGTCAATACCTATAAATAAAGTGAAGTTTTGTTCCAAGTCAATAGGAGATTCAACGTTGGAAGAGTTAAGTGGAATGCAGAAGAAATATTACCTTTGTCCACAGTTTTTACCTGTCACAGTCAAGATTCTTTTCCTCTGCATTAATACTCACTCAAATTCAATGCAGAATTAGAAGTCATTAAAGAGAGAAATGTAAAAGTAACTGGCTATTCAAATAACTGAAACAGCACTTATTTTTACTGGAAACCCAAATTACATGTAATCTTTGGAGAGTGGAATTTGACCTCAGAGAAAGGATCCAGGAAAAGAATGATCTAGAATCAATACTTACACTCTTCCCCCACTGCCCCAGCATCCCTACCCATCTTTATCCATTCGATTCTGGTACCACAGCCTGCCTCTTTAACTTGCATCAGAACCAGACGTGGAGACGCAATGTCAGATGAACAGTTCACAGAATTCCATGGCTTGAATGTAACCCCCAAAATTCATGTGTTGAAAACTTAACGCCCAATGCAACAGCATTAGGAAGCAGGACCTAAGAAGAGGTGACTAGGTCCAGAGGGCAGAGCCTTCCGGAATGGACTGACACTGCCATCATGGGAGCGGGTTAGTGATCACCAGAGGGAGTTCACACAAAGTGAGTGCCCTGGTTCCTTTGTCTTTCACATGCGCTCACTTGCCCTTCTGCCCTTCTGCCATGAGACGGCCTTGCCAGATGCCAGCACCATGCTCTTGGATTTCCCAGCCTCCAAAAGCATAATAAATACATTTCTTTTCTTTATAAAATACCCAGCCTGTGTCATTGTATTGTACCAGCTGAAAACTAAGACACAGGACATATGGAAGACAAATGCATGCTCCTATTGACAAGGACAGAGAGGCTTATAATCCTGCCACAGCTCTGAGTTAGCAATCTTTCTTTTTTCAAGTGTGGGCCTTACATTTGTGTGACTCATAATGAGATTATTTCAGCAGTAACCAGGGGTGACAGTTTGCAGGGACAAGAATCACGAGCAAGCAGTGCCTCCTCTCTAGCTGGCCTCGTAGTTGCCACCGCAATTGTGCAGAATCACCAAACCGTTATCAAAGTGATTTGCATGAAAGTCTCTGTCGCTCCCCCCACATTTGAATGTAAGCAATTATGTCATTTTTGTAGTTGTAGGTAAATAAGATTCCTTCCTAAACAACAAAACACTAAATTAAAGCGTACATGTCAAAAGTACGCATCAATTAAGTAGAACAAATTTGTCATCATGCAAACGTAACTAGAAATAAACGGTAATGAGATGATTATAAGAAATATATTGAGTTAATGTGGGGTTAGCTGATGCCTCAGCTGCACCATTTCTTAGCTCGGTGATCTTGGGCAAGTTATGCCAGTGTTTTAAACTTTAATTTCTAAAAAAAATGGAAATAACAATAGTATTTATTTCATAAAGTTGTTGTAATGGTTAAAGAAATAATGCATGTAAAAAGTCTTTACATAGAGCCTAACATACTAAGAATCAACAAATTATAGATTCAACAAATTATCATTGTTAAATATATATAATCATTACTTTCTGCATGGTAAATAAGCAAATGTATAAAATCATTTGTACGGGTTAATATATTTGGCATTATGTTTATGCAGCCAAACCATGTCTTGTTGCATTTTTCCAATATTTAAAATAAAGAGTACCAAACAGAATCAATAAGAAAAAAAATTCACATCTAAACACATTATCGTAAATTACAAGAACATCAAAAGCAAAGCAAAAAGTCGATAAGCTATCTGCTGCAGAGAAAGAGCAAATGATCTCAAAGGAGCAACAATTAAACTGACATTACATGCCTCAACAGAAGCATGAGAAATAAGGAGACAATGAAGTAATATTTTCCCACATTGTGAAACAATGGAAAATTTGAACTTAGGATTTATCCTCTTAAATAAAGATATGCTCATAGAAGTCCTCAGAAAATTAACTATAGGAATACCAGCTTTTAAAACATTCTGGAAGGAAGTACTCCTAGAGAAAGAGAAACCAATTTAAAAATACTTTGTAAGATAGGGGAAGCAAGCGTGATAAAACAGGTTAAAAACTTGTTGAGGTATGATATAAATAGGCAATTACCAAACAAGAAGCAGGAGATCAAAACATAGACAAAAATGAAGAAACCCAGAAATTCAAAGCCTAAATGATACCAACAGCAAAAATTGTATCTGGAGATGGAAACAGAACACAGGCAGCAAGAACATTCCAAAGACATTGCCTTCTTTAGGGAGAAAAATAAGCATATATATTATCCTTAATACCTTAGGAACAACCACTAAAAGAATAAACATAGAATACATAACTTTTAGCTAGTGTAAGAAAAATTCACCTATTCAATAAAATTAGAAAAAAACAAAAAATGATAAATATACAAGTATCAAATAAGATATCAGAAGTAAGAACTAAGGCAATAATTATGTTAATGTAAGTGAAGTAAGTTCACAAATTAAAATAGCAGCACTCAAATTAGACTAAAAAAAGAAGGAGCAGTAATATGCTATTTATAAGACATATACTTTAAAAAGAAACAGAAAGGTTTAAGATCGAGGGATGAATGAAGATACTGCAGGCACATTTGAACCAAAGGACAGCTGTGGCAGCAATATTAAAAACGCACAGGAGACATGAAAAGTTTGCAGCATCAGAAGGACTGCTATATACTGAGGAAGTAAGAGTAAGTATTACATAGAGATAGGTATGGGCACAGACAGGTACAAAACAATGTGTGTGCACGCACGTGTATGAATGAAACAAGTAAAGCAACAGCAGACAGAATTGTGGTGAGAAATAGATTAATTGATATCAATCAAGCAAGCCTCTTGATTGATCTATTCCCTACTTACTGGCTAGTGAATCATCCCCGTCGCGCACAGAATGTCCTGAAGCTCCTCCACGCTCTGCCTGCCTCTCCTCCCTGCTCCACTCACAGCAAGCTCCTCAGAAGGGCGGCCTCACTCTTCACCTTTCATCCTCTTCTTTCATCTCTCTTGAACCCACCACTCTACCAACATTGCTCCTTCAAGGTCCCCAATTATCCCCACAGTGCTAGCTCAGGTGACTTGGTGTGAATTCCCATATTTAGCCAAAGTCAATCCTCTTCCTCCTTGAAACAATTTTGTCCCTTGGTTTCCAAGAGGCCACTCTTTCTCCACTGCCTTGACCATTCTATCAACTAAACACTGGCGACTCTAGCAGTCCTTATTTTGCTGAAAACCTCAAGTGTCTTTTTCTACTTCTGACCTCTCCCTGGACCTCCAGACTCATCTATCTGAATTCCTATGTGATGTCTCTACTTCCAAGTCTAAAAGCCACCTCCTAGTGACATGACCCAAATCAAACTCCTGATCTATACCCCCAAAACCTGCTCCTCCAAGAGCATTGCTCTTCCCAGTATACGTCACCTCCATTCTTCCAGTAGCTCAGGCCCAAGCTCTTCTTGCTTCCTTACCCCTTCTCTTTCTCCCACACCATTCATTCAATGTATCAGCAAGTCTGTTTGCCTTAAGTTCAAAATCTATGCTGATTCTACCCACTTATTTCCACTTTCGTGACTTCCACCTTCATTCAAGAAGCCATCATATTATCTCTCACCTAAAATGCTGCAATAGCATCCTAACTTGCTCTCATACGATCTATCTTCATTACAATAACCACTACAATCCTTTTAAAATCCAAATTAGATCCTGTCACTCTTGTTCTCAAAACCCACCAATAGGTCCTACATCTCTAAGAGTAAACTCCAAAGTTCTTACAATTCTCTGTTTCAATTCTCCCATTTCTGCTGTGGCATTGACTACTACCACACTGGCTTCCTGCTGCTCCATACTCACCCCTCCAGCCTCAGGGCTTTTGTGCCTGCTATTGCCTCTGCCTGGAGAAATTTTCCACTAGATAACCAGGTATCTTTACTTCATTCTGGCCTTTGCTCAAACGCCATCTTCTCAGCACAGTTTGCTTCAGGAAATTCCAACGTATCAATTTATTAGAGAAAATGGTATACTCACCTAAACAGATAGATTGCTCATAAAATGATAGTATCAAGATTCACCTGAAGACGCTTGCCTTGCTGTATCCACCAACCCTAAAACTGTCGCAGCCTTGTCCAAGCCCGGTCAGGTTCCTTCCAGGAAAGACCCATCTTCAACACTCTCCAGCCCAGACCCAGAGCCCCATAAACACCCCACTCCCCATTCCTCCTTCCGAGACACTAAGACTGTCAAAATAGCATCTCCCTTGCTATAGTGAACTCAAATCAGCTTACTTTTTCTTTATTAACAAGTTATCTAGTGATATTTTGGAGACTTCAACAAAAAACTAGATAATTCTTATTTCATCCAAATTATTCCAAGAAGCCGTAAAAGAGGAAAAGTTGCCCATACATTTAAGAGGCCATTTCTACCTTGATTCCATAACCAAGTAAGAGTCTATACAAGAAAAGAAATATAAACCTAAATCACTTATTAGCATTGACATAAAATTTCTAGATAAAATATTATCTAGATATATCCAAATTTAAGAAAAAGGAAAGCCCTGTGATTAGACTATCCCAAACCCCTTCATTTCCATCTACATATGAAATCATGTGTAAATATAATTTAACAACAGAAAACCTACCAGTAAAGTCATCACACCTCTGAAAGGAGAAAAAAATCGCATAATTAACTGAATTGGTCCGAAAAGTTATTATGATTTAAAAAGAAAATGAGAAATACAACCTTAACTTGATTAGTCCTATCCCAAAAAATCACATAAAGTATCTTTTGAGATTTGTTTTCTTTAAGGTCAGAGCACAAATAAGAAAACTCACTGTCATCTCCACTGTTCAATATTGGTCCAGAAAAAAAGTAAAGAGAACTATTAGAATTGGAAAAGAAAAGATACAACTATCATTATTTGCAGATGATATGAAGAAAAGCAGAGTCCAACACTATTAGTAATTAAAATTGGCCAACAAGCATATTAGGTACAAGATCAAGTTAACACATTGACTGTCACACTTGAAAAAACAAATTTTTTCCTTGGGGCCATGGGCTTTTATTACAAAAATAGAATAAAAACTTTGAAAACAAAACGATCCTTTCTAATTTAATGAAAAATTTGTTAATTTTTATTGTTTTCTGTGCATGAATTATATGCAACTTGAAAAATCATTCTCGTGGCTCCCAAGGTAAAGAGACGTGGGAATTACAGATGCTTCACGAGGCCCCAGGCTCATAACTAGCGTGGGTTAAATACAACTCACATGGCAGCTAATGTGTTAAAAAAATCAATGTTTCTTTGTATCAGCAATAACAAAGCAGGAAACAAAACCAGAATAAAAGCCCATTTGATAAATATAAAGTAATCAAATTAATCTGATAAAGACTATACATGGCTTTTCTGAAGAAAAAGCAGATACCTGTATTAAGCAATATAAAGGGCATCTGAATAAATGAGGAGCTACTCCCTTCATCTCAGGTGAAACTCTTATTATCATTAAGGTCTCATATTACCCAAATTAGTCTTGAAGACACTGCATTGCAATCTCTAAGAAAGTATGCCTACATTTGCCACTTATAGCAGGATATGTAGACTTGCATGATTGGTACCAATGCAGAAAAAACATGTTGTAATAACATATTTTCAAACTTTGTTTACATCATCTTTGTTTGCATCTCTGGTAAACACTTCCTTTCACTGTAAGAAAACAGCTTATGATGCATCTTTAAGAAAGCATGCCTACATTTCCCTATTAAAACCAGAAATGTAAACGCATGTAAGATGAACGAATGTGGAAAGAAACAAGTAATAAAATATCCTCAAGTTTTGTTTACAAAAAAATTAGACATTTGCATTGCAAATCAAAAATTCCATCAGGACAGTTTGTACAAACTGAAACATTTATTCTAAAAGTTATTGGGAGTAATGAAGCTCTATGAAGACCAAAAACTCTCTGGAAAGGAAAAGGCCAGGAAAGAGGACTCATGAGATTGGGAGCCAGACCGTAGGATTTTGATCTGGCTCTGCCGCCCTGGTTCTGTGTCTTCTGGCAAATTGCTTACCCTCGTTTCGCTCACATACATGCTGACGGTGAAAACAGAACCTTCCCCAGAGGACTACCGTGAGAATTAAACAGAATAACGTATGTAAAGTGCCGAAGTGTAGTGAGCCCCAATAAAGTTAAGCCGTTATGATTGTCGTCGATATTACTATATCTTATCTTCTTGCAACGTGAGAATTTCCTTAGCAAGAGCGTTGGCTGGTACGCAGTTGTTCCCCTGCAGGAGACGCCTTTACAAAGGGCCGTGTTTGCTGGTTTGTTTGTTTGGTAACTTATAAAAAATAACAATTAAATTAAAAAGGAGTACTGTTTCT